GTTCACTCTATGTAACCAAAGAATTGCAGACAAATACTGTACCATGAATTCTCTTTTAGTCTTGTTAGCCAGCTAGCTACCAAAAACAGTGTTTACAGAATAAGGTAGTAATAAGGTAGTAAACACTCAGATGGAAAAAGGAAAGCAACACACCAGATATATTTTATGAAGCTCTCCTGGTTTATTCACACATAATGGAGAAGAACGTGTCAATAATTAACTATATCCGTGTCCCAGCACATGAGGGTGTTAGCGAAATGAAACCGCAGGTGCTATGTCTAAGCAGGCACTAAATTGGGACAGAGCTGAAGTGGAGGTTGGATAATGATGATGATGAGTTGAGGAAATGTGGATTATGCCGCAAGATGGATTTGAGAAATTCCCATGGTAGGTTTCCAGATGACTGAAATCCATTAGTTGAAGTGGATTCCGAGTAGCCACAACAGCAGAGGAGTAATGTACAACCTACCCTGGCAGTTAAATATGGAGCTCATGGTCCCCAAAACATAAAAGCAAAGTTATTCGTCATACCTTGCAATTCTCCCAACAAAAGCTTTTTCACAATATTCTCTGAACCAAATTGCAGACGACAGACAGTGGACAGAAAACAACAAAGCAGCGACCCAGGTTGGGAAATGCAATTATCTTTTTGCTGTAGAAAAAAAAGCTAAATAGAGAATGTTAATCTGCATGGAGGTGGAGCTAGCTATCGGTACTCTATAGTCCAATCTCCTGAAGATTTCAAAGGACAGGTTTAAATTAATTCTATCTCTCACAGAAAGTAGGTTGAATGGGTTGTGTCTGTGTAATCATTCCACCTCATCAGACTGGCTGTGAAGCGGCACCTTTGTAGAGTTACTGCACTATATCAGGTTCAGCAGAAGCTTGATCAGTTTGAATTAGTCATATTGAGTGGCTCCCTCACATATCAGGCTGTTAAAAGCTCACAGCAGCAGTACTGTAGTCGCACCTTTGCTACTCCTGCTTGACAAATGTAACCATATTAGCAAAGACATGAAAAAAAAAAGTTTTACATACCAGGTTTTATTTTCTTCTAGTTTTATTATTACTATGGTCTTTAAAGCACACACTGACGCAAGACAGAGTAAAACATTAAACACATTTTTGAAAATGTAGCATTGACAGGTTCATCAAGTTCTGACAAAGTACACATCACATTAGAATTGATTTTTGATATTGTGTCATCAAATTGTGTCCCAGACTACAGTGCTTTTTTGTTTTTTAAAGATAAGGCTTGTGCTTTATCTTAATATCCCTGCTGGTCATAGGATGGGGATGCATGGACTGCACGGATGAGGCAAGTAGATGGAGGGATTCAGAAGAACAGGATCCAAAAAAAAAAGGTAGTTAATGTGGTGATGCTTTCACAGTGTGCAGTCTCATCAGCATTGTTTCCAGCAGCAGAAGCAGGAAGTTGCTTTGAGCAAAGGAGCTCTGATCACAGCTGTAGCTTATCTGCCCGGCACCAAATGGCAGGCAGACAAATTAACATAGTTGAGCATTTGGAGTCGTACTCCCGAGTTTGTGATCTGACAATAGAGCGACAATTGAATTTGGCATACAGCAGGTGGGCACCAACACAGTTTCAGATCAGTGCTAACTTTTCTTCTATCTGCTGGATGTGGCAGTTGTGTGTTAACAAGTTTGACATAGGGCGACTTTTTGCCAGTGTTGTGTTATCAGCTTTTTTTTTCTCTGGAAATGCACAGTAGCATATGGAGCTGCGGTCAGATGTTTACATGCACTCATCATGGGTATGAATGACATGGCAATTTGGGGCTTTTAATGGTTTATTTGAACTGTTTTTGTTTTGTTTTTTTCATTGTGGGATGAGTCTACAATATACATCTTTAATGTCTGAAAAACAGTCTTGAATTTAGTTTGAATTTTTCTGATACACACAGCAAAAGCATGCATACCTTCACTTAAAATCTTTTAATAAGTGGCACTAAAAAATGTGCAATTGGTAGTTTCTCTTTGCCAGCATCAAAGGGGTTTGATGGGGCAATGAGTCATTTAGAACAATGGGGAACTCAGTAAATATCTAAAAATAAGAATTGTAGATTTACACAAACTGGGAAGATCTCTTGGAGCCATTTCTAAACAACTGCAGATTCCAAGAGCATCAGTTCAAAAAACTGTATGCAAATACAAGTAATTCAAATGAGTCGCCACTTCGCCAAGGTCTGGAAGAAGATCCAAACTATCACCCTGAGATAAGAGGAAAATGGTTAGTGTGTGTAACAACCGAAGAGCCATCAAGGATGCTTGGAAATTGGAAATTGAAGTATCAGTGTCTGTGTCCACCAGAGATGGGCGCGTTACTGTAATACTTTTTTCGAGTAACGAGTAAAGTAAGGGATTACTATTGCAAAAACGGTAATTAGATTACTGTTACTTTCCCGTAAGCACGCTGCGTTACTGCGTTACTAAAACTGTGATTTTCTTGCGAGAGTGTGTCATGACAGTGACGTAAGCGAGTGCGACGTTCGTGACAACAGCTGTGTGCAGATCAACAATGGATCATATATCGAGTGTCGGAGAGAGTATGAGCATGCAGCGTTTAAAGCGTGGAAGCACTGACCTTACTTTGAGTTTGATTCCATAAAAAGTGACAAAAACATTAGCGTCTGCTATTCACTGCGTGGGAAGAAATCTTCTTTTTACAGCGAAAAAAACCCCTTAACTTCCGAGCAAGCACCGAGTGCGCTACGACGTGATGTGAAATTCACAGAGAAACTCGCGGATTCTTCAACTGACCGCTGCGGCACACCTGCACCAGGGTAAACCTCTGCCTACGCCACTCCTGCTATACAGGTGAAAATAGAGCAACAGGACCGCTAGTCTTTGATTTTATTTATTTTCTGCTGTGTTTCACTTGCATTTATTTGAAAGAGTGAGTGTAAACACAAAAAACTATTTTATTTTATGTGCTGGAATGTGCAGAAAATAGGTTTAAATGTTAAACAAATTTCTTCCAGTCAGAGAATGTTGCATATAATTTATTTTTTGCTTGATGCATAAAGTTAAAAGATTAAAATTAATAAAACAAGTTTTAAAAAGAGAGTTTTTCATTTGATTACATTTTGTATGATGGATTATGTAGAAAAAGTAGAATTGGGCTGAAAGATCTCACTTTATCACCTATTCAGGTTGTAAATCGTGTTTTTAAAAAGTAACTAAGTAACTAAGTAATAATTACTTTTGAAAATAAGTAATCAGTAAAGTAACAGGATTACTTTTTTGGGGAAGTAATCAGTAATTAGTTACTGATTACTTTTTTCAAGTAACTTGACCAACACTGGTGTCCACAGTGAAGCAAGTTTTTTTTACATTGCCATGGACTGAGAAGTTCCCAATCAAGAAAAAAACCCTGATCCAGAATTGACACCTTCCAGCTCGAATGAAATTTGCAGCTGCTCGCATGAAGAAACCGAATGCCTTCTGGAGAAAGGTTTTCATGGTCAGTCTTTGTGGTCTTTGAACACAAAAATTGAGCTATTTGGCCACAATGATAAGAGGTAACAGGCGGAGGACTAAGGTGCATGTTTCAAGCCTGAGAACAACTGTCAAGCATGGTCATGGTAGCTTTACACTGGCACTGGTGCATTACACCAAGGGGATGGAATAATGAAAAAGGACTACATTCAAATTATTCTTCATCTCACAGGTGGAGGGTTGAAATTTGAACACAGCTGGATGTTTCGACAGGACACTTATCCCAAACAGACTTTGCAACTGGTTTTGGAATGGATAAACTGGGCTAACATTAGGCTTCTGGGATGGCCTTCACAAAGCCCCCAACCTCAATCCTACTGAAAATTTGAGGAAAGCACTTGCGAGCAAGGAAGCCAGCCAATTTAAATGAACTCTACACATTCTGCCGAGAAGAGTCGTCAAATATCCAGTTAGAATTGTGAAAAAAGCTTGTTGATGGCCCTCAAAACCATCTGTTTGAGGTGCAACTTGTTAACTTTTAGTGGGAGGCTATGTAGACATTTGAGCCTGTATGAATACGTTTGACCCTGTGTGGATTAGAGGAAAGCCAAAATAAATTCTAACTTGTGCAACTCAATTTTATTTATATAGCTCCAGATCACAACAACAGTCACCTCAAGGTGCTTTATATTGTAAGAACAATATAAAGCACTTACGAGAAGAAAGAACTTATAATAGTAGAGAGAAAAACCCAAACAATCAAACAACTTCTTTTGAGCAAGCAGTCGGCAACAACAGGAAGGAAAAACTCCCATTTAACAGGAAGAAACCTCCAGCAGAGCCAGGCAAAGGGAGGGGCAGCCATCTGCCGCTACTGGTTGCGGGTGATGGGAGGAAGACAGGACAAAAGACGCTGTGGAAGAGAGACAGAGATTAATAGTAACTAATGATTAAATGCAGAGTGGTGTATACACCCACAGTGAGTGAAAAAGTACAGTCATTCCACCCTGGTGAAAGAACAGTTCAAAGAAATCAAAGGCCCAAATTACCATGACAGTCATGCACATGATGAGTGGATGTAAACTTCTGACCACAAACAAAAAGAAAACCCCCTGGGTGTCTGCTTATTACTGTCCAACAGTAGCTATTGAGATGCTTCACAACACTACTCACCACATATACGAACCATATTAATATATTAATATAAACAATATCACCTCAGAATTATTATTATTTTTTAAAATAAAATGGAATAAAATATTGTCATTGTGAACTATCCATCACCATTTGGAAATTCAGTCATCCGTTTAGTATTAAGCTATTCTAGCAGTCTGGATAACACTTTTAATTAGAACCAATATGTCACTCTATGTGTTTTAAACCATAGTTAGCCGGTTTGCAAGCTCAGTAATCCGAATTACAGCCTCTGGTGACCATCTGCCGTCTGCACAGACAGCTCCGCGCACTACTTTGTTACTGAATTCACCTCAGCCCGCCCCCTCCGTGTGTGTCTCTCTGTGTGTGGGGGGTTATAGCCTACCGGGCGGAGTAATTCGTGCTGGTATCTATTGAGTGCATGCGTGCGCGAGTGCGTGCTACGGTTTCAGCCTGTCACTCTCGTTGTGCCGCGGCGCGAACACGGGTAGCAAGAAGGACCAAAAATCCGCCTGGTATCAGTTGTTGTCCCTGGAAAGACTGTTTCCCCCCCATCACTAGAGACACCTCTCTTGTTTTAAAGTGCGTCTGCTCTTCAAGGAGAATAGCTGTGTGACACATTACAATGCTTCAAATAAGGGACCTCATCTGGGGATTGTTATTCATCGGCTGTGCAGGTAAAATGAGTTATTTCTTGTTCTAGTCTAATATTAGGTTGTGTGGGGATTAATATCCAGCTGTAGGCAAAGCAAATCTGTGTGAAAGCGCAGGCCGAGACGTGTTGATTCTAGAGCAGCATCCTCTGGTCCCACCGGCGGCATCCTTGTCACTGACTCCGGACAGTGGCGCTGGGTTTGGAGCTCGAGCGCTGAAAATTCACAGTTATCCCAAAAGTTCTCTAAAAAGTGAGGCATCTCCCCCTCTCTGAGGGAAAGCGACATGAATTACTTAGCAGGGCGCATTTTATTCAGTTTTGGGGTTATACAGTTTGATAGAGTCGCGTATCTCGGTGCATTTTGAATATCCCTGCACAACACAGAGAAGTGCAGACGGCCAGTCTCTTTCATTCGGGGTGACTGTTCTCCCTAAGTTAAGTTATGCAACATATTTTTAATAATAATAATAAAAATCCCCACTCGTGCTGCGTGCTGTGGAAGTTAAGCTCCTGAGTTCGTCCCTGTGAGTAAATAGAGGAGGATGCTTCCAGAGACCGGTGGTGTTGCAGTGGGGCGCTTTTTGTGGTCCCCTTTATGTCAGCAGCCAGCTTATTGCTTATAGCCTCTTAAGTCGCTGCAAACGTCAACGGCAAACGAATATACTGTCATTCAAAAGTCCACCTCGGCTTTCTCAGTTCTGCTGGGTCAGACGTGACGCACCGAGGATGGGGTGTCCGGAGAGCCGATCGCTATTAGCGGGAACGCTTTGTTTTAGTCCACTGGAAACAGATTTACTGCCCTTTTTTCTCTTTATTACCTTAATATTCAATTTGTTTTCCGTACGCATGCGCTTAAAACTATCGAATAGATCGATAAGATGCACGCACAAATTTCCACTTGTGCCACGATCGGATTTGGCACATAACCAGTAGCTGTGCTGATGTGTCCGTGCGGGAGTTTAGTTTTTGCATCCCTGCTCTGATCATATAGGTCGACACTGAGGCATTGCCTCTGTTTTTGTTGTTTTTCTGGCCAAAAAGGACTCTGTAGTTTCTAACTTAGTAGCGAGGTGCTTGTTTTTTTTCTAACCTCCATGCGCAAAATGATGTCGACTTCGGCACAGACCCAGACTGATTTGATCGTACTTTTTAATTTCGTTGGTTGAGGGGAAATTCGTCATCCAGTGAGGTAGACTGAATAGTCTTTCAATGTATACAATAGCATCCAATCCCAGAGCTCTCATGGTTATATAGGGCGGGAGGGGGACCCATTTTTCCCCCCAAAGCCCCCACCTCTCCCACCACCCACATCCTTCTCTCCTCCCTGCATTCACCTCCCCATTCCATACACTGCAACTGAGTGCTCAAAGAGGAGTTTGAGGACCCCCAGGGGTCCTTGGAGAGCGGAAGAATAGTTTGATGTTATAATTTGATTCAATTTAGTGTACATTATGGTGTAAAATGATTATTCTAACCCGGGGCCTCAGTTGCACTGTTGTTTCTCAGTGCTCTACAGGTCTATGCTTTTCTTGTCTATGGCAAAAAACAAAATAAAAAAAACAAGCATTTTCTTCTCCCCTACTGAGATTAACTGCAGCCAATACAGCCACTGAGTCTGGATGAAATGACTGAAGGTACAGTTAAAATAACCAGAAGGCAAATCTTTTCATGTGCTAAAAAAGTAGCCTATCATCTGGCTATGCCTGTTTCGATTTATTGACATTTGACTCCTTTCCTTTCTTCCTTTCCTTTCCTTGCCTTGTGTTTGTGCCACACGGCCATGACACATTATTTGGGGTAGACTGTTAAGTCACTTTTCCCCGAGCACGCATCATTAGGTTAAAGTTCATAGATGTAGCACTGTGAGACTGTATTGAATTATCCATGCAGTAGTCTCGGTCTGGCTAAATAATACATTTATTTCACAGTTGTGCTGAAGCCAACAGCCCTGTCTTTGCAGAATTTAGGGAAATCGAGCATGAAGAATGTGGGTCTACGCACAGGAAAATAATGTATATAGCCTAAAATAATGTGGACTGGGGAAATTGAGTGGATAAGACGACAGAATTTGAAGAAGGTGGATCATTACTGTGTATGTTGGATGGTATTTTTCTTGTTTTGGTACATAAAACCTAAGCTGGCCTCCATGTGGTGCTGGGCGTGCCCCCAAAGGGGCTCCACTTTTGTTTTTATTGTTTGTATGATCTGGTGGTTTTTGAGTGTGATAGTGATGTCGATACTTGAAGTTTAGGAAAATATTGATGTATTGATTACTGTCCAAACTTTTAAAACACAGGATTTGACATTTTGCACTTCACAAACAGCAACCAAAAAAATGCACTTTACATTTTTATCGCTGGGAAAAAAAATGCTGTGATTTCTGTTGGGAAAAAAAACCTACTTAAAATACTTTCAACAAGCTGAGCGAGGATCTAATGGGCTGTGTTGGGATAATGCGTGTGCCGGCTGATGTTTGTGGTTTCTATGAACCTTAAACTGCATCACTTGGCGCTGGCTTTTGAAAGTTTTCCAGAATATTTTTGGACGTATTTCCAAATCACCACCCAAACAGTTGGGCACCCTGTCACTGATGTGGGTTTAGAGAGTGGCGCTGGGATGTTTTCATTTCTTCTATATGATTCACGACCCTGCCGAAATATTCTGACACCCCCACAATTTACCGCGCCTCCGCAGGGGAGGGAAAGAGAAAGGAACCGAGAGGGAGATAATTAGACAACTGTGCCTTAGCTGTACCCTCTTGCAACAAGGAGAAATTCAAATAAATTGATCGCATTATTTGATGGACCCGGGGTATATTGAAGGGGTAATGACAGTATCACACACTTTGAGGGCTGAGCAATTTAATTACATTTATTGATTTCCAGTTTCTGTTCCAGTTCGATGATAATTACATTTTTGAGGCTCGCGCCAAACATTAGAATGCAGAACTACACCACCTTCCAAGATGTAACTGCATTATAATGCAGTTTTAGGAGTCGACACAGGTAGTGATCTTTCTCGACTTAAATTCAAGTCGAGTGTGCAGTGCCCGTTCTGACTGTGTTACTGAATTAAGCCACCGCATCCATGGTGGTGATCAGTTTGAAACTGGAAAAAGTAGAAGGTGATGCAGGGTAATCTGAGGGGAAAAGAAGCCCCGTTTTTATTAAAGTGAAAATGACACCGCCTCAGATTTATGTGAAGTTACAGATCTGAGGCATTTCTATTCTTTTTTTTAACCCTTTCATGCTCTGTGCTGTTGGCTATAGAGAAACCAACGCAGGGTTGCCTTCCAGTAAAAGTTCCAGTAAGCTGGCTTTTACTGCACTACAGCTCAGCATCGTCCAGCAGCGCCCTGCACTGACCAAATATGTGACCAAATATGTAAAATATGTACTACTGGGCATTCCTGATCGATTAGTCTGACTTGAGGATAAAATATATTTATGATCAAATTACATAGTTAGGCAGCACGGTGGCACGGTGGTTAGTACTGTTGCCGCACAGCAAGAAGGTCCTGAGTTCAATTCCAACATCAGGCCGGGGTCTTTCTGTGTGGAGCTTGCACGTCCTCCCCGTGTTTGTGTGGGTTCCCTCCGGGTATTCCGGCTTCCTCCCACCGTCCAAAGACATGCAGCTTGTGGGGATAGGTTAATTGGAAAATCCAAATTGCCGTTAGGTGTGAATGTGAGCGCGAATGGTTGTCTGTCCCTGTGTGTTGGCCCTGCAACAGACTGGCGACCGGTCCAGGGTGTACCCCGCCTCTCGCCCTATGACAGCTGGAATAGGCTCCAGCACCCCCCGCGACCCTGAAAAAAAAAAGGAGAAGCGAATGGATGTTATTGAGTTGAATCGCCTTTTCACATGATATTGCAAACCGCTGTGCAGTGTTTTAGCATCTGACAGAATGGCAGAGTGTTCTCTCTCTTGCTGAAAGTGGATTGCCTCTGTTGGATTTCTTTATTCTTTTTGTTCCTGAAACAACAAGTTTGCAGGCTGAAGGCAGGCTAGATGCTGATGTGCACTTGCCATTCAGTTCATACAGTTATATGAAACTGCAAGCAGTGCAAATCCATGTACTGTTCTGGCTGTAAAGCAGCATGTGTGTACTTTAATCAGTCAGCTGAACTACAGAAGGGAAGAAAAACTTTAGCTTAACATTTTGAGGGATAAAATACACAAATCCTAAATGGCTAACATATGGGACTTTAACTGCTGTGGTGGGTTCAAAGCCACTATGAAAATAATACAGGCTATTTTTGACTTGGGGAACTAGAAAAAGCAGCCAAACACAGGAAAATTATAAGGCATTTTTAGTCCGCTCTTTAAATAAAACTAGATTCTGGCTCTTTCAAGCTTTGCTCCGTAGTTGCACTTTGGTCCATGCACCATTTGGCTTGGAGACACTTTGTACTAATGTACTATTACGGCTTGTTATGATCAAATTCTCGTCAGTACATGGACTGTTCAGATTATAGCAGTACTCCTACTTGGATTCAGCTTCTGTTTAGCTAAATACTGCATGCCTGTGTCGCCGTACAGTTTATGTAAGAGAGCAACAGATCAAGTGACTTGTCATCATAATTGCAAGTTGATTCTCAAGATGTGAGTTCTTTGCTGCTGCCTACATTTACATAAAGTTCAGTCATTACTGCGTCTACATTTTCGCCCTATAGCTTTCTTTTTTTCCCTTCTTGCTGTGCTCCCCCCCTTGATTTGTTTATTGATCTCCATCTTTTGCAGCTTTTATTATATGTCATATCATCCTTTCTCCCCTGAGAGTTCAACTCAAAACAGCCCACACAGCAGCACAGACACAGAGCCCTGTGTGTCTGAGTTACATTATCTGCTAATTAGTGCAGACTATTAAAATACTAAAAATTTAACTCACTAAAACTGAAGCAGAAACTCCTTGAATCGTTTGTACCACACAGCACAGTCTGTTAGATAATTCCTTTTAAAATGCTCCAACAGGCAACAACAGCACAGACATGGTGGAGAGGTGCATTAATTGACTTTGAG